TCTCTCTCTCTCTCTCTCTCTCTGCCTACAGATCAGGATGTAACTCTCAGTGACTCTTCCAACACCTGCCTGCATGCTGCCATACACTCAACCATGATGATAATGAACTAAACCTCTGAAAACCTGAACGAGTCTCCAGTTAAATGCTTTGTCTTGTAAGAGTTGCTGTGGTCCTGGTATCTCTCCTCACAGCAACAGAACAGTGACTAAGACACCTATTTAGCTGGCCTAGCATGTGTGAAGCCCTGGGTTTGATTACAGGCATGGCCTAGAACCTGGCAGAGCGGTGCCTCCTCAGAAGTCCAGTACTGGGAAGGTAAGGACGGGAGGATCAGAAGTTCAAAGTCATCCTCGGTCATACACTGAGTCTGAAGCCAGCCTGGGCCACAGTAGACCTCATCTCAGAGAGACAGAGCAAGAGGATGCTCCAGGCTGCATGGTGACACACATGAACAATCCCAGTACTTGAGAGAGAAAGAGTATAGAAAGTTCCAGACTGCCCCGAGCTACATGATGGGATCCTATGTCAAACACCAAGGTATATGTGTTATTGGGGGGGGGGGGCGGAGTTAGACATGGTAGTTAGACATGGTGGCCCACAGCTCTAATTACTTGGGAGGCAAAAGTAGGACAATTGCAAGTTTAAGGCCAAAAGGCCAGTATGGGCAACTTAATATAAACCTGTCTCAAAATGACATTTAAAAAAAGGCGCTGGATGTGGTAGTGAATGCCTGTATTCCTACCCTTTGGGAGGAAAAGGCAGTGAGAGGAAGTGGTCAAGGCACAAGTATATGTCTTAATAAGTTAATTAGGTAATTAATTATAATTTAAAGGGGAAAGATAACTTAGTGATACAGTATTTACTCTGGGTTCGCTCTCCAGAACTATAGATATTTTAAAGCAGCGTGTAAATCAGACTGTTGTATATTCAATGGAGCGACAAGTTAAAGAGTTCTGAAGACAATTCATTTGGAAACGGACATCAGCAGTACTGTTCCCCTTGATTCTTTACTACTGTACAAACTCAAATAAGACAGGGGCTCAGGCTCCTCAACTGTAATGTGAAAGGACTGGACTGGGTGATCTTTAGAGTGCTTCGGCAAATCTAAGATTCTATCATGAAAATGTCTTGATATTTCATCTTGGGGTTATCCTGGTAAAAGATATATCTGGCTTTCTACCTTGATGAATTTTTGCAAAATGAGGTTTTGTTCTTCTATGATAAACTAGACTTGTGAAAAATGATTTAGGCAGAATTTAGAAAGGTAGATCATAAAAAACGTAAGTATCCACAGAATGGACACTTTGAAAAGACAGCTGTTGACTCATCATCATCCCCTCAACCAGGATCACAGTCTCTGTCATGTCTGCTGGTTAGGGCCCGCAGACAGGCAGGAAAGATGCATCCAACTCACCACTCCCTACGGTCACCCGCCCCACGGAAACCTGACATTCCGCAAGATAACTGATCGTGGCTGCCATTTGGAAGACTGAGTCATCTCTATACCCAGATCACAAGATGACAAAACCATCAACTTCTTACGAACCAGAAATTCTTATTCAAGCAGCTAAAGCCAACAACAGAAATGGGTCAGCAAAAAAGGGATGGACCAGGCAAGAAGGTTGTGAACCAAATTGTGGTCTCCCTATTTTGGAAGACAGATTCTGGAGATAGAAGATATTCTAATAACAAGCAGTCAGTCCTATGCTGTATGTCCAACTTATCAATAATAATAATCATTATTATAGTAGTAATAATAACAATAATAATAAAGCATCAATGAGAGAGAGAGAGAGAAACTTGGATGGTGAGTTCCCTAACAACCGGCTCACAGAAGATATAATAGAACTACATCGCTCTGAATGTCCTTTGTGGGGAAGGTTGCAGATAAAGACAGATGTACACAGGGAAAAAAAAAAAGTGATTCCCTAAAGAGCAATATCTTGTTTCCCTTAGGTAAGAACACCTCAAAAGAATAATAAAGGAGAGGACAGCAGCTTTAAGTTCGCTCCTAATGATCTAGATGATGTGCCCCTTGGTCTATCCCCTGCCAGCTAAAACTCAGGAGAGGAACTGTGGGTATTGTCACCAGCAATCCGTGACTCCCTCTTCAGCAGAGTAGACTGCTGGACCAAAAGATTCGTCCAGCCGAGTGTGTCAGAGATGAGAAATGCAACAGCACCACACAAAACCCTGCACTTGTGCTTCGTGCAGCCAGCTACACCGCATCAAAGGGATTAGGGGAAAGAGCCCTCGGGGGCTGAGTGCATCTCCCATACCCAGGCTTCACAGGCTTTAGGGGGGAAGTTATTAAAGAACGGGAGACAGACTGTGATTCACAGCGATCAACTCCTGCCTCCAGCTGTGAACACAGACAAACTGGGGATGAGTCCCCGCAGCTTTTGTGCACAAGAGCATGCAGACACAGGGAAATGCTCCGCTGCAGTACTGAGTGACAGCAGAGAGCCACCAAGGGAAAGCAGAGCCAACGGTCCTGCTCAGCAACCCAGCCAGAACCCTTCCTTATACTTTCAGTTACCCTGGTCCAGAGGACACCCACACCCACACACACCTCTAGTTGTTCTTCAGTTGATATGTGAATCTTTTAAACACATCCCAACTCTTCTCATTTCATGCAGTGTCTCTGAAGCAAGAAAATAAGCAGGTGGGGGAGGTGAAACTTACATAAGCTTCAGGGTACCTGGCTCTCCTGGCCTGGGCACATCAACTTGAAAGAGGGGATCCATGGGGTAGGGATGGAGAAATGAAGAAACTGGAGAGAAATGAAGCCATTTGGAGCCTCCCTAGAGCTCCAGAGCTCCAGGCAACACTTCCGCTTTTATCATAGTTTCTTACAAGAGGAAGAAAACAGACTGGTTCTTAGCCTGTGGGGAAAGAGAGATCCCCCCCTTGGGGCTCTAGTTTAGAAACAGCTGGTCTGTGTATACACCCAGGTGGCTGCCTCTGGATATTATAAATATTCATCCCTGAAGCAAGGCGCTGCTCTGTATTAGGAGGCAGTTGGATGGCTAAATTGCTAGCTAGAACCAGCTTGTTCTGACAGCTTCGGAGGCTGGGCAGTCTTGCACACAGAGTCCCCACAGAAGGATCCTGGTCTAACCATTCTGCAGAGCCCCTAATTAAGGCCAGTCAAGTTCAACTGCTGCCTAGGGTGGCCCCAAGATTTCCCTTCCCCAGGCACACACCAAGCTGCTCTCCTTACCATGCAACAGCATTGGAGTCCACTAAATAGCGCTTTAAAAGCCCTCTATCAAGTGTCCTATCTGGGGGCAAGCATGTCTCCCGTCTCCTCATATGCACAAACTAACCACACATCATGTCAGCATAGCCTTCAGATAAACTCCCAGGGGAAATGGCTTGGATTTAAATTGTCAGATTTAGAAGCACAATGAGGAGGAGGAGTGGTTTAAACCCTAGATCTTGGAGTGGGGAGGGGGAGGGAATGAAAGCCCTCCTTCTCATGTCAGAGAAGGGGAAAGCCAGAGAAGGCCACTCCTTTTATTTTTATTGTTATTTTCTTTCAGCAAGACTGTTGTGGCGGCAGTCACTGCCAGCCGAGGTGCTGGCAACTACTTTCTTTCCTTTGCAGCCCACCAGACTGGCTGGATTTTCCAGGATATACTCAGTGGACATGGCCACCAAGACAACACAGCAGTTGGCACTAATTGACTCCCCAGGTGATTAACTTTTGGTAGGAGTCAGCAGAACCACTGAAAATATTCATTCTTCCTATCTAAACTGGGGCCCGGACTCCAGGGAATTCTCTCTCTCCCTCCTCTTGTCTCTGTCTCTCTATCTCTCTCTCTCTCTGCCTCTCTGTGTCTCTCCTTTCATTACTGGCAACTGAACTCAAAACTTCACTCCTATCACTGAGAAGCCTTGAGAATTCTTATGCTGGTTTTCTGTAAGAAACTAACTTGAAACATGTGTGCATGCATACAGAGACAGAGACACAGAGACAGACTGAAAGCAAGAGAGGCGGGGACTCAGATTTCAGACTGAGTGCCTATTAGAAGCCAGGTAGCGGTTAAAGTACTTGACACATGTGATTTAATCTTTTAGAACAACCAGTATTACCCTCGTTTTACAGATAGAAAGCTGAAGTACAGCTTAGGTGAGGCACCTAAGGCCGCATAGCTGGTGAGCAGAAGTAGGCACTGGCACCCTGGAGAGACAGATGGAACAAGAGCCCCAGCTTACTAGGAAAGGGGCCACAGAAGGAAGGCATGAGATGCTGCTGTTTAGACCAACATCATTTGGGAACGACAATCCTTGTCTGATGATACGAAGATCTGCCCAGGATGCTACAAGTTAAGTCAGACAACAGGACAGTTCTTCTTAAAGTCTTACCATGAATAGTGTTCTTTGAAATGAGCCAACCAACCAGTTAACCCACGAACACCACAGAACCCGTCCTAAGGCATCGAAGTACCAGGCACTGCAGAGAGAGGTCTACTCTGGAAGGGAACAGGGGGGCTGGAAGGGCCTTCCGCCACTACAGTACTCATGGACGGCAGAACAGGTACCCCCAGCGTTCGTTCCTCACCGAAGGAGTGAAAACTGCCACCTGAAGGGGCTTAGGTGGCCAGGGACGGGGCTCTTGTTGGCTGCTGCCTATGGAACGCAGAAGCTGGCTAGTGAGGGCATCAGGGAAAGCCATGGTAACCTCGGAGCAATAGGAGAGATGCGGAGGACTTGGCACCCCAAGAGACAGCTTATCACCCTCAAAGCTCAATTCCCTCCTACAGCTGGCTCGGGTCACCCCTCTCCCCAAAGCACTATAGTTGTTAGGCTAAAAGCACCCCCTTTCCAGCAGCTTCAGGGAGCCAGGAGATGGGGGGCTTTCCTAGAGGGGCAGTGGCGTCCGCCCATAGAGTAACCCTCGCCTCCAGGGAACCTAGAACCGCAGCTTTCTCCTCGCCGCAGCCCTGGCCCGGCGCGCGGGAGGTGTCCGGGATGCCGGAGCGGCACCTCTCACCTCGCTCATCCCGGCGGCCGGACGGGGTGTGGCAGGCACAGGTGAGGCGAGGGGTCCTAGGAGATGCGTCCGTGGAGCGAGAGTTGCCGGAGCAGACTCCCTGGGCAGGGCCGGAGGAGAGAGCGCGAGCCGCTGCTACGAGCTGCCCGAGGCGCCCCGGCTGCGGCTCTGCTCAGGGTACCCCTTCCGACCAGGTCCTGTCAGCAGCAACCCGCGCCTGGACCGGCCCCACCTTTTATAGTGAGCTCCGGTCCCCGCCTCCAGCCCAACCAATAGAAACTCTGCCTACTGCAGACTGACAGCTTCTTGAAGCCAGTGGGGGCAGGCTCAGAAATCTGCTGCATTTCCAAACTAGGGTAAGACAGACAGAGGGAGCTGGAAGGAGGGGGAGACGGTCGGGGGATGAGAAGACAGAAAACGAAGTAGGAAAACGGTGAGGGAGAAGTCATAAGTAGCATCTGGAGGAACTGAACTCCGGTCCTCTGGAAGAACAGTAAACGCTCTCGAGCCTTGTGATATCTCTCTAACCCATCGTATATCTTTTAGGGGAAAAAAAAATAGGGAAGAAGAAAATAAACAGGTAAATGAACACAGGTAAATGCATGAACCTTCTGATAACTTTAGTTAAATGTGGTTCTGTTTTTCTACCTCGTTTTCATCTCTTTAAGGAAATTCTTTAAATTTTTATGCCTACGATACTTGTCATTGTAAGACTCTCAGCTTCAGTTAGCCAAACCAGGATAACTTCCAGCTTTCACGGATACATTCTTTGGTTGATACCTTCACAGCCTGTTGCAACTGTAACTACACTTGTCTCAACACCCAAATTCAAATAAGACCTCAGACAGTCTTTTTTTTTTTTTTTTTTCTAACTCGACTCTCTGTGTTTATACATTTCCTCCGCTGGGTTAGAAATAAAGAAGGTGGAAAAGAGATGCACCTGAGATCCAGAGCCTCTGATTCTGTTTTTAATTGGAATCTGGTTGCCGCAGTTACTAAAGTTCTAACTAGGCTAGCTCCTACTCACTCTATGCAGCCTACTCCTCTGGAATCTTTCTAATGAACAATTAATTAGCATTGAAAAGGTTGTCATTAGTGAAACAGACATGCGACTTCAACATCTAGGTTAGGGATCTGCTAGCCTTCCAGGTAACAATCAAATAATGAAAGCTTTTTTCTTTGTAAGATATATGTAGTCTCTATATATGAGCCAGCTCCTATTACACTCAAATACAGGCACAAACAACTCTGTCAACAAACAGGTATGGCTGTGTCTGATAGAAATGTATTTGTGACCCCTGGAGTTTGAATTCATATAAATTTCACGAGCTGCGAAATTTCTTCTCTTCCGATTTCAGTGAAGAGCTGGAGGGATGGCTCAGCAGTCAAGAACACTTGCTGTTCTACCCGAGGGCCCACAGGCACTTCCCCGAAACACAGCCAGTGGCTCACAACTATCTGTAACTCTAGGGTATCGGGGACCCCCCCTTTGTCCTCCACAGGCACCCGCAAAACTGTGGCAACATGGCATATACTCACGCATACACTGAATAAACTTTAGTGTGAAGCCTTTTCTAAAAAGCTAAACTTCCAAAGAAGCTAACAGTACCACATGGTGGGGAACAATGATCTAATTGTAGGATCTGATTTTTCTGCAATTATTTCACTTCTGAAAAGATTTCCTTTTGCTGAGTATGCTGATGCACACCTTCAATCCTAACACTCAGGAAGCAGGGGTAGGTGGATTTCTGTAAGTTTAAGGCCACCCTGGTATACAGTTTCAGAACAGCTACGTAATAGAGAGACCCTCACTCAAAAAAAAAGAAAGAAAAAAAAAACAAATTATTTTTAATGAACGTATTTTCCCGAATATATGTATGTACGCTGTATGTGTGCCCAATGAGGCCAGAAGAGGGGGTGGGAGCCTTCAGAACTGGAGTCACAGGTGGTTGTGAGACCGCAAATGGGTGCTAAGAACTGAACTTCGGTCCTCTGCCAGATCAGCAAGTGCTCTTAACCTACCAACCTTCTAACTCTGATTTATTTAATTTATTTTTTTAAATTATTTTATTTTGTGTTAGAGGTTGGTCTGATGTTCATTACTGGCCCCCAAGACCTTGCCCCTTCTCAGAAAAACACATTTTTATGTAAACTTGTCCTTGTTGCATAAACCTGAATAAGTCATTATACCTGATTGGTTGATTAAACAGCCTATACCTGGGCAGGGCAGAATGGGATGGGCGTGGCTAAGGTTCCAGGGCCTGTGGGTTCAAGAGAGAACCGCAGGAAACAGGTGGGACAGGATGAGGGGAGGATGGAGGTTGCCGCATGGGGTTACTGTGGAGAAAAACAACAAGTGGGCCAAGGGGAATGACTCCAGTAAAGGAATGAAGAGGCCCAGATGAAGAATATGAGCAAGTTCCCTGGGATTATGGATGGAAGGTAGACCAGATGAGGATGATTAAGGCAGATGGCATTGGATGGGGGCTGGGAGATGGATGGTGAGGTCATTGAGCCAGTGTAGGTGAAATCTCTGCCCAGCCCAAGGTAAATAAGACAATTATAAATCTAACAGGTATCTGTGTCTTATTATTTGTGATAGTGGGTTAAATAATACTGCCGTGATAATCTTAGGGCTAATAATAACATACAGCCTAACTTTTTATTATTTACTCAGCAAATGGCGCCCAACCAATTTAAGTATCCACACCCTTTAAATCATACTTTATCATAATTTGGTGGGGGGGGGAGGGGAGAGATAAACTCCGGCAAAACAACCCGAATTTAAAACCTAATACCCCCCCCCCCGGGGTCAAATACTGTCTCTTTAAGAGAGACTCTTAAACACGCCCACAAGCAAAATACAACCTTCTGTGGGCAGACCCAGACCAAAAGGCAAACGGAATGGAGCAGACTTAACAAAATTGACTGCTGCTCCCACGTCTACCACCACTGCTGTCGCAGCTCTCACAGGGCAACAAGGCCCACGGCCCTGGTGACATGGCAAGTTGGAGAGGCAAAACTGGGAGGCAGACAGAGCTCAGCCTAAAAGTGCACCTAAAATAAAAATGCCGTAGCAGAAGGTGTGTGGGCCCCTTTTGGCTTTGTTTTGGTTGTCATTGTCAGGGATCTGGTTGCAATGTGTCTAATGGTGATGGCTCTTCTCCATGCCTTCTCCGAGAAAGTTCAAGGAGAAAGTGGGGAAAAAGCCAAGGGATGGAATAAAATTACGTACACTAGAAAGGGCAGTCTTCCTGATTAAAAATTACATTGACAGCGGATGGGATTCAAAGCTCTCTGGCTACGAGGTGCTTGTCAGCTCTTTCTGGTAAAGGTCCACCGATTCACTGTAGCATCAACTACATTCCAAAAAAATAATGGTAAACTGGGCTTTGCTGGTTACAGCCTAAATTGGCACAACTGGCCCAAAACTTAGACTTTTCTTATTTCTTTGCTTGATTTTCGTTTAAAGGTTTTAAGTTACAATGATATGGATTTGAGAGAAAATATTTGAACAAGATGGTGATGGCACATGCCTTTAATCCCAACACAAAGGAAAAAGAAATGGGAAAATCTCTGAGTTCCAAATCAACCTAATTTATATAACAATTCAGTGCAAGAACTCCTGCTGATTAGACCCCTGCAGAGACAGTCTAGAATTCAAAATGACAAACTTTTCCTTAAGGTTTCTATCTAAGTTCTTTTTTCTTAATAATGGATGTTATGTCCTTACTGTTCTAAAGGTTGGATTCACATCAATTTAAAGAGATGATGTCACACTGCTCTTTTTTAAAAAGGCCAGCCAATCTCAAAAAGTAGGACTTCCACAGGAGAACTGGTGCCAGAGGGCATTTTGGCTTAAGAGATATGTTCTATTGGTCAATGTAAGGACCCAAAATTAGGCTGGGAGACAAACATGCAAACTGCATGCCTCCCATGTCAAAAAACTTTCAAATGCTGACTAAATTAAGGTATCACACTGCTCTGGCAGCTGGCTTATCCTTTCGAATGTGAGACATTTTCACGGGAGACAAATGTTGGCCACACCTAATAAAAAAAGAACACAGGAGGCAAAGTACACACCAGCCTAGTTAGGTCCTAAAAAGTCAAACATTATATTTCATATGTTTAAAAGGCAGAACTGTCCATCCCATATCAAAAAGGGGGCAAGCCAAAGAATAACTACAACCAATGTAAAAGTCCAGGTACAAGATACCTAGGATATGCTTAAATTCTAAAGGTAAAAGAGAATTTATATAAAGTTTGGCTATAAAGGCATAACCACCTGTTCCATATAGAAAAGGGAATAGGACCAAAATAGCTACAACATATATAAAAACCTAGTCTGCTTAAACTCTAAATTAAAAGGAGTTGATGAAAAGTTTACTTAAAACATGCCTTTTCTATTGCTCAAGGCAACCGGCTTATCTCCTTTACAGGAGGCCTTCTCTTGGGAGATAGGTAACGGCTTGGCCTAATACAACAGGTGCCTAAGAGCCCAGAGAGGATATTTAGATCTATAGAACCTTGTTTTGATTTCAACATGGTAATGATTATATGTTCAACAATAGTGGAAACTTAGATTGCTGATCCTGCTACATGGAAATAGCTCTGACACTGACTGAGACATGGATGTCTATGCAAAGCCAGTAATTCTTGTTGGCTACAGAATCCCCATGACATGTACATGCCATCCTTTCATATGGCATGAATGAAGACTTACAGGTGTCTTTCTTCTGCTCATACAAAGAGCAGAGAGCCATCCTTAATTGAACTGTGCACCCTGCATATCTTTGTGAGAAATTATATATTTTCAGAACAAAAGAACCAGACACCAATGATGCTAGATCAAACCTGACAGGATTCATCCTTCCAGCATGCTAAAGATGCTGATACATCTGTTCCAGCATCCTGCATGGTCCAGCTTCAACTGGTTCAGTTGCTGTTCCTCATCAAAGCCTGCTCCCAAGAGAACTTCAAAGAAAGCTACTGATCTCAACTGGTCCAGCATTTCAGACTGTTTCAAACAGGACTTCTATTAAGCCTGGAATTTCTCAACATTTAGAGACTGGACCACAAATGTTACTGCTAGCTTGTTGAATCATTTTTCCCAATTTCCTTTGGGTCCACAAACAGGATTTCTTCATGTCCCTAAATCAGATAGAAAAAAAAAATGCATGAGAATGACATCCCATTTCCTTAAGGGGGGTTG